TTATTTGGAAATAAAATGTGAGAGAAGTTAGTGCTGGTCTAACCAGCAGCACGTGGGCAGAGACAGTCACACAACTATAAAGGTCAGGAATCTGCCAAGGATGCCTGTGCTGTGTTGCTTAGTTGAAAACTGGCAGTTTAAGCTACCTCTGTGTGTGAGGAAACCACAGCGGACAGCACTGAATGCCTTTGGTAAGGGACAGCTTTGGGGAGGGTTTGACTTAATCTGTATCTAACTGATAAAAAAATAAGTTATAATTTCTTCAGTTTCTTCAGAGAGAACTTTTGAGACAGGTCAGACATGTTTACCCATTTTGGCCCATACACGTGAGCTAACCCCATTTCTTTTACAAAAAATAATACATAAACTGTGAAGGGCTTAGGACAGACATGGGCTACAGGTTCTGATTTGTCCTATGGATAAACCCACAGTATTCCCTAGCTTAGTTGCTTCCAGTTTGGCTCTGGTGACTACATCTAAGGGGTCCACAAAAGTTGCTTAAGAAAAGGAGGCCTTGTTCAACAGACTAACATTTGCTCTACGGAGAGTCCAGACCTCCACTGGAAAGTGTTTGGGGTCTGTAAGTTGCAAAAGCTTCAAAGAGTTGTTCTGGTAGTGTGCTGTGATATTGTGATATCACCAACCCTGTACTCTGATATTGTATTTTTGTTGTACCCTGAACTGCACTGTTCTTGACAAGAAGTGGTCTCACTTCCTGACTCATCATCACTGCAGCTATCCATACTGAGATATTCCATACAGGACCCTTTTCTATGCACTGGCCAAACCAGTTTGCCCTAATCTGTGAGATTTGACAATTTGGATTAAAGTAAATGGGAGCTGTATACACAACACTTAGGAGGTTGTAATTCTGTAGCTAAGTGTGCTCTCTCTTATGTTCCTTTTTGTTTTACAGGTCGTTACTTTGTGGTATAGAGCTCCTGAAGTTTTGCTTCAGTCCAGCTATGCAACACCAGTTGATCTTTGGAGCGTTGGCTGCATATTTGCAGAAATGTTCCGTCGAAAGTAAGAAATAATAGTTTTATTTTCTTCATGTTTTTCATTTGAAATTTGAAAAAATGTGCAGTAATGTCTGGTACAATACACTGGACCAAGTTTATATTGGAAAGGCCTGATAGGTTGCTTTATTTGCAGTACAAAATGTAAATACCTTTTGCGAATTCATACTTGTTGCCATCTTGGAGTCTTTCTTTTTTGATGGGAGTCTGCCTCAGCTCTTGGTGAAGCCTGTATGAGCATTGTTGTATTCATGTTACACCTGAATCCAAATGCAGATAAAAGTGGGCTGGAGAGGCTGTTGATCAATTTGAGTAAAGCTGGATTCTAGAAAGGATTTACCCTGAGGAAGGCAGGGCATGGTGGTCAGCAGAGTCTTCTTGCTCTGGAGTTTGTGCATTGGAGCGTCAGGTGTTTGCTCATAGTCCCCTCTTGGCATATTTGAGATCTCAGAAGTCACTGTAAAGTTGATTTCTAGAGGTAGGAAACAGAGGTAGGATTTTTTTAAGAGTAAGCTATTTAGCCTGAGTGTAGGGTAACAGAGATGTTAAATGTAGTCCAAAAAAACCGGATAAAAGACCTTTTTTTTGGCTGATTCAATTAAATTGGCTATCAGAACTGTATTGCTACAAAATATTACAGCTGGATGCAGATGAGTTCTGAATATGAGAGGAGCACTTGTGTACTGGTCTTTCCCCATGGAAGGACACTAATATGGAGGTTGTACCATGTAGGGTGTGGAGAGGAACAAACCCCCAAGAACCCTAACAAGATAAATCTGTCTCGATATTAACCCAGTCATCACATGCATTTTGGTTGAGTTTATTGCAAAAAGTGTATGTTGTCTTCACCTGGGTGATCTCCGTATAGAAACAGTATAGCATTTTGTAACGCCCACTGTGAAATCAAAGAATATACATAAAGAAAATGTGAAAGAAAATTATATACCGGGTGGCCTAAAAACCAAAATCAGTATAATTTACAAGGAGAAGCCATACTGCAAGGGCCTTGAGAAACAACTATTTAATTTATACAATGTGAAGTTCAAAATACTAATTGAAGTCTTGCAAAATTACTTTGGGTTTCTACTACTTATTAATGTTAGTATATGGAAAAATCATTTTTCTTGGGCTTCTTGCCTGGTCAGACGGCCTGGGTAGAATTATTATACTCCACCCTCTCTGTCTGACTCAGAAATGAGGTCAGAAAATGAGAGAAAAAAGGAATGTGGATTTTAGGAGTATCAATTAAACCCTCCATTGCAAACTTTTAAAGATTTAGTCTTATCCCAAATACTGCCAGGTTCACAATAGCATTAAGCCATTGATATTTTTTCCGACTTAAATAGCAGCATCAACAACTTCATTTTAGCATTTGCAATAAGAGTGATACAGGACAAACAACTGAACACAGAACTTTATTATGTGCTCAAAACTCTCATTTTTTTCTCATTTAATTTGCAGTATTCAGACAGATAAGAAATATTGCCTTATACAAGCACCACCAATTTAATTTTATTTTTCCTTTTATGATGTATGAGCCTCACTGACTCTCCAAATCCAACACAGTAAATTAAATTAGGGACAGTTAAATTTTCTACTTGTTTACAAATGCAAATATTACATTAATATTACCAAATCAGAGATTTTTTTTTAATGGAAATGAGATCTGACTTGAAGCAGAGTTTGATAAAACCAGGACTTCTATTATTCTTGCCAAATGCAGGGTCAGTCTGACATTCTCAGTCCTAAATTTGGGACACTGTCAAAAACTGTAGGGGTCAGGAATCTGCCAAGTCTGTATGTACTATGTTGTTTCATTGGAAACAATACGACTTTCACATACTTCAGTATACAAGCATGATTTGGAAGACTAATCCCAGGGCTCATTGCCATAAAGCTACAATGAACAGCACTGAATGCTATCTCCATGGACTGTTGTATTGGGTTAATGTTGCAATACTCTCTGTATGATATATGTTGTCTTTCTGATTCTCCTGATGGATTGCAAAAGAAAACCCATGTTACTGTGACCTTGGTAGCAATAAACTGTAAAATTTTGCAAACTCCATGGATTATTTCCAAAAGATTGAATAAATGCAACAGCTATTTCTGCTGGAAAATGGTAGTGCCCTTGGGTAATCACCGATCTGCATTTCCACTGGTGTTGATAGGATAAGAGTACGAGAATGCAGCTAAAACTTAGAAGTAGATGTTGGTTTGACATTAAGACAACCTTTTCTTTTTACTGTCTTACTGGGTACTTGTTGCCTTCTTTCCCACTCTTTTCTTTTCCCTTTGTAAGATTTTAAAGCTCTGTCATTTTTAAGAAATGTACTGAGACTGCTCTGGGTTTTTCTATATTATGGAGACTTCACTGGAATGGGTTTCAAAATAAACCACTACACAGCATCACCAAACATATCAGAATCCTGTTTATGCCAAGAAGATGTCTGACAGTTTGAGTTTGCTAGAATATAGGTTTGTAGGCTATTACAAACACGGTCAGGGTGCTGTAGGTTTGGACAAGTGTAGGAGAAAGGTGAGCTCTGTATGAATGGTCCGGCCCCTATGTTACAGATTGCTGTGTCTCTAAGTGGAAGGCACCTCATTTAATTTAAATCACCCTTAATCCAAAACAGTTTAAGACAAATGCAAACAGAGTACTTGTTTAAGAAATAGATCGGAAATACACACAAGTGTATAAAGGAATACACAGACACAAAAAGTAAAATAAATATATCTCTGTCTAGATACACCTAGAGTAAATTTGAACATTTCTCTCATCTTGGCTGACTCAGCTAAACAAATGACACTTCTCAGCTGAGGACTCTGGTCCTCCTGCAATCTGAGGTTTGTATAAAGTCATAGCTATATTTAAAACATAGACATTTTAATTGTGGTGCAGATTTGTAGGCTTCTGCATACATGAATGCACAAAAGTTGTATCCTGAAACCCCTTGCACAGATTCCCAAGGATCCTACTCTACTTATAGCTCAGCAATAAATTGCTCAGTAGGCAGGTGTATGTGTTATGTATGCCGAAACTATTCTGCTTTGTGCATCTTTTTCTGTCCATGTGCACTGCCGATGAGAGCACCCCCAAATAAAGCATTACTTGAAAATTTCCTTATATGGTAGTTTCAGTTTTTAAATTTCCTGTCTAATTAAGTAGGTTGCAGTGACTTCTAGACACATTTGGATAGACTGTCCTTATCTAATGAAAGTGTAAATGTATTTGTCACAGTGACTGTTTTCTTTGTGATTTAAAAGCTATGGTGCATTGATAACAATAACCAGTAAGGAAAATTGTAAGGTATGTTATGGCTTGCTACCATATCACAGAATCCTTCAGAGATACAGCTGGCAGGACTGACGGGGGTCCGATGGCATGGGGGCATCCTTTGGCACAGCAAGAAGATTAGCATTTTTTTTTTATGTTTAGGTAAAAATAAGGATTGCCTATAAAAAGGTTTCACTCTGAGGCTGAGCATTTTCCTGGCCAGTAGGAAAGGGCCTTGTACCTCTTACTCAGTGAACAACTCATTAAAGAGAAAGGCAAACATGGGAGTAGCATCCACTTCTGTCTGGATACAGGAAACTCTTCCAGCTGGCTCAAGGACTGCAGGCGGCTCCAAAGCAAGAAGCCATGACCAGTGTTTTAGGGAAGAAGGGACTGTCTCTCTTCTTGCTTGGATTAGGTAATACTTAATCAAGGTGAATGAGTGTGAGAGGGGAAGAAGGCTGGAATCTGAATCTGGGTGAAATGATCTATAAAGAAAGCAGGGATCACCAGTTTTGGACTCTCTTCTGAGTAGGCAGTCTTGAGAAAAAATGTCAAAATGTTTCCATGCTTAGTTCTTAGTGCATCTATAGATGCTCAGTCTTCAAAGCCACAATCCTATGAGATTTCAATCCTGCACAGAGTAGGGTGTTAGTAGGTGTGTATGTGGGACTAATGGGTCAGATATCTATATAATAATTCCAGCTAGGCAAGTTTAACTACAATATTGCACAAGCAACTGAGTTTGTCTTCCTTTGTAGTAAATATAGAGCTAAAAATCATCAGAAGAGGCCATCAGTTTTTGTAGCCTATTTTACATTCACAGCCCAGTCAAGCTGAAGAAGTCATACATTTGAGAGTGGCCAGTGTTGTGACTGCATGTGCAATCTTCACAAACATTACAGGTACCAATTCAAACCCCAAACTTGAAAGACAGTCCCCTCCCAAAAACCTTTTCCACCTCCCCAAACCAAAAATAAAACAGTTTTATCTCGGTACCCCAAGTTTCATCCAGCCAAGAGGGAGATTAATTCCATGCACATGGGCTTCTTACTGAGACCGTTCATGCACCAGCTCCATGGTGTTTTAATCAGCCTGCTGTTGGTAAGATCATCAGTCCCAGAATTTCGTAGGCCACAAGATTGGCACAAATGGCATGAGGTTATTATTTATTAATTTTTAAATATTAAATCATGTTTTTAGCGGTTGTCTCATTTTTCAGCTTACTCTGCCAGCTCCTAATATATGTGAGCCAGTTATTGCATTACCAACTATGCTTGAAAATTGTAGCAGCAGATGAGATGTGTGGATCTACTAAAATACCTGCGATGGGACAAGTTCCTTGGTGGGCACAAACAACGGACATAGGGAAACAAGCTATAGGCATATAAGTCATCTTTCAATGGTATAAATTTGTCCAATTAGAGGAGTTACATCATTGTGTGTAGAAAAGCCATGGGCCCAGCACTTTGTTGCTCTAGGTAACGTATACAGGTGTGATAAAATCAAAGCTTAGAGCCTGGTCTGGTGATCAGGCTGTCATGTGAGCACTGGATTTGGGACCTACAGGATGCCTTTAATCATAAAACATTTAACTGGTTTAGAAAAACTAGCAATACACACATTCGTTCTTAGATACAATGTCTTACAGTATAGAGTAATTGTAAAGCATCTTTCACACTAAAATATAGTAAATCTTTATTCCCCTTTCCAAACAAGCTATAGGT